CTTTATCTTTAATAAGTACATTTAGATATAACATATTCTCAGCTATTTGTACTTAAACTATTCCAAATTGATCTTTCTCTGGTTTAAGAATTTTGCGAACACAGAATATTCCATCATTACTTTCTCTCTATAGCTTTATCTCATCATCTATCTTTTTCTGTTGATTATAATATAATCGCGAACATTCAATATACATAAACTCAAAGAAAACATCTAAATATTTTATCACATACATAATATCTAGTCGTCTTCCCACCTGTCCTTTACCTTTCCTATCTACACTAGCAATACTCTGTTATTCTGAAGTACTGATAAATGAGGATAGTCTAAAAGGAAGGTTTTTTAATATTACTCAAATAGATAATAGAATAACTGTTGATTGATAGGTTCCTTCATTTAGTGATTTTACAAATTCAGAATTAAAAGCTGGGTTAATCCAAATATTTTCCAGAAGAATTAAAACTTCTTTTATAACATCTGTGATTTTTTCTTCTGATTTTTTTCAAGGCTCATTGTGAATTAGTTTATCTGATATTGTATTTTAAATGTTATGATTGACAAAATTTGTTACGAAATTTTTACACATTTTTTTAATTATCATCATAGGAGTAGACACTATTTGCCGAACAGGTTTTTAATATAAAAAATATGTTATATTTATTCTTAAAGAACCTTCAACGAATTTATGGTTACCTATCTTAAATATCTTTTTTAGATTTAATGACAACTGTTTAACAACTTTTGATTGATCGCTAATAACTCAGCTGACCAAAGGATCCTTTCAGATTAAGCTTTGAATAGATATAACATTTATTTTGAAAAATAATTATTGATAGAGAGGCGAAGTGTTTTTTCTAAGCTTTTCTTTCAGATCATTTATATTATTATCAATCTGATCTAAGCTAAAAGGAATTTCCTTATCTGTTTAATTGCCTTCCATGTTGTATAAGATATAAACATCTTTAAAGCCAATATCAAATTAAAAAAAAAGTATTATGTTAGATTTCAGAAATAAAAAGAAGTTCTTATCATAAAAATAACACAATCATCAATACATATGCGAAGTTATCATCTTTGTATAACTATTATACAGATGAAACTTTGTGTGATACTAACAAAGTAACATAATAACTCATATCTTAACACACCCTTGACATGGCAATAACCTTTTCACATAATAGGTTGGTAGAATGAACTACAAAACTGCATAACAGATTATAACATATATACCCTCTATTATATATAAGTATTTACTGATAAGCAAGCTGAATAGATAGGTCGAACATAAGTAATAAACTAAAAAACAACTTATTTATTCAGATTTATTTTAGTAAATGATCATACAATATCATTATATAATAATAAAAGCTAAAATGTTTGTATAAATCTTAACTAACCTGTGATAAGATTCAGAAAATTTTTAATTGACGAGAAGAACCTTTTATAAATGTATTACTAGCAGATTTCACAGCTTGTTCTACAATTAATTTTAACTCTATTTGAGAAACTTAGCGGTTTTCTTTCATTTCAAGATAAATAATAGACGTAGCGTTTATTTGACATTCCTCAGCAGTCGTCAAGAATTTATAAATCTTATTATATATTATGGTAGATATATTTACGTAGTTAGTTTAAAATATAAAATAATACTAATATACTAAGATAATGCCAATAGCAAAATAAATGACAAAAAGCTAAAAATTACCTATACCGCCCTTTTAAATGCTACTATTTCTCACATTTACACCTTTCTAAACTCATATCTATATTGGGAAGAGATAGGAGAAAATATGCAAGGTACTTTGTGCTAAAATTTTATGTTCATTAGTAAAAATATGCGAAATGTGCTTTGAAGATCTCAACATTTACAAAAGGCATTGAAATAATGTATATACAGACTTTTTTCGCTTACCTGATCACTCAATAGTTAATATTAAGACTCAAGCAATGTTATATAAATATATTCTGTTCAGAATCAGTGGTATTAGAGAGCCTGTTCCTTTGAAGCAAATATTCATATCAGTAAATGTTATTTTACTAAATCTTATTTCGCTAAATATTGTAAGAAAAAAATTTGAAATATTTTGGAGATTGATTTATGTGTAAAATTATTTTGTCATACAAGCATAGTTTTACAAGTATTACTATTATATTATATACACTTTAATGAGGATTGAAAACATGCTAATTTATGTTATACATGCCTACATGCATTAGCCTTGAGATGTTTTGTATGGCTGAACAATATATTATTTTATTAATATAATATTCAGGATCTGGATCAAGGTCTGATCTAGAAAATTTAGCGCACAAACTCACAATTATCATCTAAGTCTGTGAAATTCACAGTAATATCCTTTCCATAAATATGATATATATATTTTAATGGTAAATTGCATATAAGTTTCATTTTTGATGATTTAATCTTATATGCCTCATATTCTGAAATTCTAATGAAGTATACAAAATTATACTTTTTATGAATACTATAATATCCAGGATTCTGTAGCCATTTTAATATGTTAAACTAATATATACCTTTAATAACTATATAGCCTTGCTGATATAATAATTTCTTAACAAGTATGAATGTTAAAAAAGATGATCATTGCCATAATTAGACTCTCTTTTCATACATCCAATCATTTCTTACTGGATAACAACGTTCCTCATTCTCATAACAAATATATCCTAATTATTCTAATTCATTTTTTATACCTAAAAACTTCATATCATCAGGAGTACCATTATTTCTCACCACCTTTCAAACCCGTTTTGCTAACGATTCAGACCTCTTCTTGTAATTCCTATAGGCTCACTGGATAATCGTTGCATAGAAATTCTTAAACTAATAATTATATTGTCTCGCAATCAAGAATCTCCAAGATCATTTCATTGATCTTCCTCAAAAAATACTTCACTAAAGTAGTTATACAGTATATTAGAGGATTTAACCCAGAATATGCAGATCACATTTTTTATTCAGCAGGTGATACATTTCACAATTTTACCAGACGATCAAATACATACTGAATTTTAGTTGTATATTTCACAGGATAGTATAAAAAATCTTTGTATTATTATAAAATACTGACTCAGTTAAGTAATTATACATGAATATATACTATTTTAATAAAGAATCTATAGTTCAGAAAATTCGTTACACATACTCACAATTATTATTGAAATCTGAGAAATCTATTCTATTATACTTTCTCTTGATAGTAATCTCTTCAGATTTAAAATAGTCAATTTTTAGCGAATCTTATGGATATTGTTTGCCTGCTTTTTCACATATATATTATGCATATTCTGAACTTTTAATGAAGTTTATAACAATATTATTATCTACTTTGCTAATATGATGATATTCATGATTTGCTAGACATTTTAATATAAAAGACCAATCTCCATAAGTAACAATTCTATAGCTTTGCTAATGCAATTTTATAAAAGTAACTATATATGCTACAGTATTTAGATGATTATATAACTGGTATTTCTTCATTTCTATCCAATCACTAGAAAAATAATATATATATTTCTTGTATCTTGTAACTTGTTCAGTTAGATATTCTTTAATATATTTTTGAGCAATATTTTCATTATATGCTTTTTTAAGGCAGTTGACATATTCGTCAGTATGTAAATCATATTCTTCTTGAGTCTGAGGATTTATTTTTCTTTCATAAGTTGAAAGTATACCTAAATATTTCTTTTTATCAGGAGTGCTATTATTTCTCATCATATTCCAAATTCGTTTTGCCAATATCTCAGGTCTCAACTTGTAACTCCTTCAAGCCTATTGGATAAGTTTTGTACTATTAATTAATCGATATGCAACACTTTTCTTAAATTCTTTTGTAGCATTATTATAATAACATTCAGAGCTTTTTCTGTATCTAAAATAAATATTATAATAAATTTTATCAATTTCATCAGAACTAAGTGATGATGTTTTTTTCACTTTTTCGTATCCTTAGTAGAGTTCTAAAATATGCGATACGCCTTTACTCTATTTTAGCAATGCATTCATTCAGATGTTTAGTTGTACTTTTCTCGGTATTATCATAGATAAATACTAAGGAGTTACATACAGTGCAATAAATATGAAAAGAACGTCTTACAGCTCTAAATTCCTCATATTTATATTCTCTTTCAGTCATGTGAATAAATTCATTCTTGAAGAAGAATTTAGGGTTATATTCAAGGAGTTTTTTAAATTGAACACAAATTCTGAAACACCACATTTTTGGCAGTTCATTACTATATCTGTAATGCAGATTGTTCAACGCCTGTACTACTACAGGATTTAAACCAGAATAGTTAGTTTTAACCATTTTTATAGTTATAGCTGATCTTTAGTAATTTATAGCGTTTTAGCGAATTATAGCAATTTCAGCATGTTATATCGATTCTTTATCGACCTATACTAGATAATATCATGATTCAAATTTATAGCGATTTTTCGATTTGTAGCTGATTTAGTAAGACTACATACTGTTAAACCCAAATTCATATTTTTTTCTGACGGTATAATTCGGCTAAATTATATCTGATCACCATAGACGGCTAAATTATACATGACACCAATTTGTATCACATATGATCCAGAAGCTAGCGAATTTCTATAAATCACGAGATGTTCGGTAAGGAGCACTATTTTTTTACACTAACCAGACATGCATATCAAAGGCGCAGTAATTTGTGACGCAGTACACTAAAAGCACTTTGGCAATTATATATATTTGTCAAACCCGTAATAAATGATAATGAAAAAGTAACTCAAGCTAAAGAAAAATTTTTGCCAAGTCTTTGATCATTACCAATGGTAACAGTTTTAATAAATGACATGGTACATTCAAAATGCACAGCCACAAAATAAATAACATTTGCCTATGTGTGCACAGTCCATTTAGATGAAATCTTTATTTGCTAATACACTGTAAAACATTAATTAAGACGCATTAAGTTACTTTTTACAATTAGAAATCTGATGTTTAGTACAAATTATCTAAAATTCCGAAAGGATCTTGCTTTTGCTTTTTCATAGAAGGAGGAGAATCCGTGGTACTGTGTAAAGGCGATGATGGCAGAGATGGCATATTTAGTCGTTTTTGAGCGATTATCCTTATCATCTTAACCAGATCTATTAATGTATGCTATTTATAATTTACAGTATAAAAATCAGCGAATACCAGTGATTTGACAGAAAAATATATCATAGCCAATACATACCCGTAATGCTAAAAGATTCTCCAGAAAATCTGGCAGAAAGTCTTTCATATCTGAGAATGTCGTAGGAAATATAAGTGTTGCCATCTCAACAAAAAAATAAAAGTTCTGCGAATTGTCATAGGAAAGGAAGTAAATCGATCATCTTATACCTATATAACATGAGAAAAATTTTTGGTAAAAAAAAAAAACACAGAATGCATAACTCAAGATGTCTTTTACCTACCAGTAATTTGGATGCTAAGAGCGAAAACCTCTTCTAGTTCTACCTTTTTGAAATGTAATTTGCCTCACAATGTATCTAAGCAATCTTTCATCATTACCTTTAATTTTGAGTGGTTTTTTCGATATTTGTATCATCCATTGGTCCTGAGGTATTTCCTATTTCAAGTGGTAAAAGTTCGGCTTGATGACTTCGCAATGAAATGATTAAATCCATTTTTTTCATATCAGGAGTAAGCGTCATATATTCTTCATGCACTGCCTTTCGTTTTCAGTTTGTAACACTACGGGCTCTTTCTCGACCCTATCCAAAGTCCTCAGGTTAGCATCATAAGAATAATATATGTTGTAAGATACCATTACATACCAGTTAAGCTTAAAAGTGCTGATATCAAATTCTTTTAGAAGCGTGCCAATTATTGGACTAAGAACTTTGACAATGAAGTCACATTCTCTATGTTTTAAAACTAGGATATTTATCTCTCTTCGTAAACAATGATGGCTAAATAGAATCCGGTCAGTATTTGTAAAGAAAATCTAATGTTAAAGTATTTAAAATAAACTTACAAAAAATCAATTATTTCAATAGTTAACAGCGAATCTTCAGATAAATCTTTCAAATTCATAAATTTATTTCTCCACAATATTAGATCATCTGGTGACCTCTACCAACACCATAATGATTGAGTGTATTATGAAAATAAGAAACTGTATAAAAAAAGAACTTACCATCCGGTCAGATCCATCACGTAACAATTGCTGTACATCATTATTAATTTTGTCTTAATAGAAAGCTTTTTTCTTGATTTAATGAACAATTGTGAATAGTCAGACGTTTTAAGGATCCTGTTCCATTCGACCTTAGTCCATTCTGAGAGATCTATAATTCGTGATTCAATAGACCTGAAATTACATAATAGTTAGTGCACATTATTGTGAAAAAACGTGCAATCACGATAACATACTGTACTCGCAAACCGTTTTTCTTTAGTCGCTCTATTACTTTTATCCAAATTTCTTCAAGAGAAAAGTTCGAGAAAAGTAAGGCAGACATCTGTATTGTTATTGAAAGATATCAGATATTGTCTATAAGATAGTTTCAACGTTTTCAACGTATCTATTACCTTGTTTACAACAATTTCATCAAGAACGTTGTTATCTGCTTCTTGATTTTCTTAATCGTAAGTTTGCGCACTGAAATTACTCGACTCTTGTACAGCTTCGGAAACAATTTGACTATTCTTGAGAAGAGAAGAGATAAAAGAGATAAATATATAATTGAGATAAAATACGATTTGTGTTGACATAATGATATCAACAAACCTCGACTCCATCCATTATTTCTCCCCTAAGATCTTCATCGATGGTTGATGTTGTGTTTGTTACATTGCACAAATCTTCGATTGCTATTCTGGCCATATGATGCTCCTAACAGGATTGTCAGTAAGACTATTACAATGTTTTATTCTCCTAAGTTTGCCTTAAGACTCACCTCCAGTGCCCTTAATGTACTTGCGGATGTAACTCTTCGACTTATCAATGTGTGAAATACCTTTTTTTCATTTTTTAGTTCAATTTCATCAATGAAACGTTTTACATCGGTTGAAAAGAATGTCTTATCATAGTTTGTCAGAATTTTCCTCGCCTTTTTCTTGGCAAACTTGTGCACATAGCATTTGTCACTCAAACTACTTAGTAACGAATACATGTCATCCTTGAAAATATTGATTGTATCTGAAGTTAATAATTCTGTTTTTGCTTCTATATATCGCAAGGCATTAATAACTGACCATTCCTTCTGTGGGTTATGATCGAAGTAATCATTCAATAGTGATTCAAACATAGTTCTCATGTACAGAAAAAAACACGCATTCTTACCTAATACGCATAAACTATACGCGTAATATACTGATTGTTAAATCTGGAGTACAAGTGTAACTCAGTTGATAAATTTATTACTAAAATAAGAAAATCAAACCAATTTCTTATGCGCAATTGCCTTTTTTATGCATATGTGCACATTGTGCACACAGATCAGAGATCCGATAAATGTCAATTATTTTATTTAGCCAAAATTATTGTTGTGTCACTATCGCAACTTAGATTAGCCTGCATTAAGATGTGAGCTGGCTATAATAATTGATATCAGAATAATTCCGGGTCTGACACAGATTTTACATACTGGTGTAACTAATGTAACTAAATGAAACTAATCACATATATCACGTATTAATTTGCATAGTCATATCAGATATATAGTCACTCCAGACGTGTTACTATTTAGAAACTCTTTCACGCACATTCTCTACCATTATTTCCTACGTTAGATATTTGGCACTAGTCTGTAGAATTTCCTTGAGCATGTGTGTTCAAGGCATTACCCTATATGCTAGTGTTCAGGTTTGCATTGTGTATACCTACTGAGGATCCCGAACAATATTATTAAAACTTATATTTAAACACTATTAGTAAATTTCATTTTTAATACCAATTATTTTTTAAAACTTATTACCAAAAATATAAATATTACATGATATTTTATTATAATAATACCAAAAAATCAAATATTAATTTATTTATTATTTTGTATTTTACTTTTGGTATTTCTAGTAGAATTAGTTTCTAAAATGCTTTATAATATTTTTTTAGTTTCTTCTTGATTAAAATAATAAAATTGTTCTAATGCGTTTCCTGTTATTGTTAACAATCCAACCTTTTCATCTAATTCAATAAAATTTCCATTTCCTAAATAATAAATCAAATAAGAAAAAGGTATATGTGCAGCAATTGTAAAACCTTGCCTATTATCAAAACAACTAAAAAGGTTAAAATGAAGAGGTAAAAAA